TGAGAAGATAAATTCATTTTACCAGTGTGACACGGGACTTCGGTCACCATACGTGCAAGGAGATCCGTGGGGATTTATACAGAGGCATCTCCCAAATGCCGTTAAATGGGCACAACGTCAATAAGTTATTGCGATTTTACCTGAAAAACAAGAAGTACGACAGACCTGGCAAATGGAAAAACCTATGAGACCACATTCGTCTCATCACAACAGGTTTTGGCTTCTGTCACCTCGCCTGTAATGTTTGGAGTGCAACTTAGTTCTGCGTGGTGTAGTTGCTATGGCTGTTATTACCTCTCTTTTTGTAGCGCAGCGTTGACAATTTCGATAATAGACAAAATTTAAAATTGGGCTTTAAGACCGATTAACACCGGGACATTAAGCATGCCTTCTCGCCTAGGATACTGTTACAAAGGTATTTGGAATGTGTTAGTAAAATAATCCACTATGCGAAGATCGAAAAGGATTTGGTGGCAAACCACAGTTTTTGCATACGAAACAAAGTTCAAATTCAGCACTTAGCTACCTGTGACGCTTTGTGTCTTAAATTTGAAAAGGGTCGCTTCCAAGTAAAAACTCCGTCATTTATTACATGACTCATCTTCGGCCATGACACAGGACCACTAGATTGGTACTTTTCCCAAAAAAATTCTTTTTGAACCGTAGTAAATGTTGGTCAGATGTTCGCTTCATGAAATCCTGTCGCATACTATGATACATTAACGAAAGATAGTTAAGTGTATCGTCTGGCAAGTGCATTTTATTGTGGAAATATTACCTTGAAAAGTCAATTTATGTGCCACGAATACGAATCGTCCCAAGCCATTCCTTTTATGATAAAAACTTTGTGTTTTAAAGGCAATGGGTCAAATATTTCACCACAAAGTGCAGCAAGGTCAACCTCACACCTGCAGTTCTGAGACGAGAACATCCGTGATGCTTCCGATGACCGTAATGAAGTCAAAAATATTCCAGCGATCGCGAAAATAATTCTAAAATAGTAATCAATGATTGGGGAAATTATTGGCGAATGACAATTCAAGAGATTAATTTAAGCATTGTGTACGAGATCGTGAACACTTATTGATAAAATCCCTATTTTAGCCGTAAACCTGAGAACTTGAGTGATATTTTTAATTTCAAATAGGTTAATACCTTTAGAAAGTGCTATGCATACTTCACACAATAAGAATAAATAGGAACCTTATAAAGCGACCAGTGAATTGCAGAAAGGTGGGAGGAAGATTTCGTAAACATATTCTTACAGCCGTTCGAAAGCATAACAGAATCCCCGTATTTGATTCTGTTACCAGGAATATAGGTACACACCACCCTTACGGACTCAAAGCATTTATGTTTGCAAACAGGAGGATGCTCTAGAACTAAAGTTACTGAACATTGAACGCATTAAACAACTGCGTTAAGGCTAAGGTCGCAGCATGACCCGTTTTGAGACAGACCTGTGTGGCTGGTAATGGTCGCCAGGTCGAAAATCTTCTATATGATTTCTAAAATCTAGAGATACATAAAATCCTAAAATCCTTTGGCAAATGAATCTTTGTATAACTTTGCCGATGGTTGAAGCGTGTAGTGACTTCATATTAAGATTGCCAAGGTCTTATTGTATGTTTTGGGATTATGAATTGATAATTCGACTATGCTTATGATAGGCGCATATATAGGCTAGGCAAGAAATGCTAAGAGAAGATGTTTCAATTATAGACAGCCTTCCTTGATCATATATCCAAATTACTACTAATAATTTAGCCTTGATGAACTTTTTTGAAATAATTTTGACTTTTCTCGAAGACAAATTTTTTAACACCGTGAATCAGCCCTTTATAATCTCGCTGGCATAAAGTCTTTACTTGGTTATTCGTGCAATTTATTGTTTATATCCATCTTAAGGGGTTTGTTTTCGGTCTTCATAACTTAGCATTTTTGAAACCGGCAGCTTACTGAAAAATGAGTCATCTATGATAACAAAACAAAACAACAGGAAATCTGGCTGACGTTAGCAGTTTGTGAGTAAGCTTACCGAACTGCAAATAAAAAATTAAAATCCCGCTAAAGGCCACAGTTCCTGATTAAATGAACTGCATTAACCATTCACACCAATTATGCAGTGCAGCCGTAATACCACGAAGGGTCAACGAAACCTGTGTAGTCTTTCACACCAATAACAGTCTCCAATTTTAAAATATACTTGCTATTTGATTGGCCCATTAACCAAGTGGATCAATGACCTACACTAGTAATCTGTTGTGCGCTGACCAAACTATACTTATCCGATGACAGTTTAGAGAAGGGTTCAAAAGGCCTAGCCATTCATTATAAAAACGTCAGGATAACAAAGGATATTCGGTTGGTAGTCGGATTCTTAATGGACCTTTTGTGTCTTTGCGTATTGTGATAGAAAAGTCTGCTTACCTTGGGCCCAAAGGCCATGATCTTTAGCACACATTCAACAGAGAACATCACGGTAAAAGCGGAGTTCAAGAAGATCAGCGTATTACAGTAGTTGTGGTAGTTCTGCTGCGCAGTGTCAATAGTGGTTGCCATAGAAGTCCGCCTCTCTTGTCGATGATACTGAAATCATGGGACGAATATTACAAAAAGACAACTTCAATGAGCGATTCCGGCCAGCGCTGCAGTGAGTAAATGCTCATCGTTAGGTGAGTTTTGGTACAAATTAGTCACTTGACGAATAGTGATGTAAATGCTGAAAAAAACTGAAGAAGGACCCTTTCGATGTTATTTTGGAATTGGGGTGTTTTTAGGTGAAATTCTTTTTGCAAAACCTCAGTTTTATTGTAGCCGTACGTGGACGTTGGTGAAAGAGTGCCCTTCTGACAAGCGACTACCTTTAAAACGAAAACAAGTTTGTTTTCCGAAAAGTGAGCGATTCAGTGTGATCCTTACTGTTTATCTTTCTCCGAGGACACCCGTAAGTCGTCTCATGCGGTTTTTGTTATAATCCTACGTATTGTTGACTGCTCGGAAGTGTAAACGAACGGACCTCCTGTTTTTATTTATCAAATTTTTCATCCACATCTTACTAAGATGGACCCAACGACTTTGTTGCCTTGTCTGCTAAAGTTCCGGGTGCTCTAATTCGGCATGTAGTATAGGTGGTAAAAGTCCAATCCGAAATGCATTCTTAACATCCGGTCCTGATCGCCATATTTGACTATACAACTGTAGTAGGCCGGTTTTTAAAAGTGTTTTCGACATTGGTTGCGCAAAGACTGCACATATGAATATCATTCCTCTGGAATCAATATATAATTTGCGGGTCGAAATATGAACGATAATCCGTCTTGACTGACTGCTCTTGCAAAGCACCCATCTTATAACATTTAGACATTAAAATAGCAATTTTCCAATAAAAAATATCAAATTGCCGAAAACGGATTAAATGGTTAGGTCCGTAATAAGAGTAAATACCATGAAAATTGATGCAACTTATACCCAGGCAAAGATTGACATCTCATCCTAAGGTAATTGTCAAGGCACGCTTTAAATATTTCTTCCTCGTCTACCTCGCTGCAACTAAAGTGCAAATTCTCATTGTTTACGCGCTTGAGTATTAGGCCATTAAACTTTTTACTAGACGCAGTTTGCATTCCTATGTGAGAAGTTACCATGTGTTACGCCGGAATAGTTTTTGTTTTGAGTATTAGGTTTGAACGCCCAATACCACCGTACTCAAAGGAACTTAATTCGCGCATAAATACTGACGTTACTGGACCAAACAAGGCTAAGCGTGACCAAAGGAGTGTCGTTTATTTATTTGTAACCCAATCAGTTAAAATTTGGTCATTGGAATTAAGGGAGAGCAGGTTTTAATTTTAAGGAACAGAATGTCCATTTCCAATGCCCGAGAAGGGTTTGGTGATGCCTACACTCTTAGAGTGTCTGGTAACTTCGATTCAGCTGGTACAATCTGAATTCAGTTGGAACAGCAGTCGCTAACATCCAAAAACAGGATCAGTTGATGTTTAAATCATAGAAAATACATATACGCCCAACATACTGTTAGCAAGCACATGTTCTCATCGAGTAATAAGTATTTTTACGTCTCAGTCAAAAGGGAAACGGTTGGGTATATTTCAGCGTGAAGAACTGGTCTTTTTATACTATAAATGCCTTCTACCTTATATGTCTGTGAACCTAGGTCTTTTTAATGGCACTAAAATCCGTTGTGGTCGGCCCTTGCAACTAAATCAAACGATCTAAGAGATAGAAACAGTACTATTTCGACTAAGTACTTGTGCCTATTAGCAAGCCACTGTTATAAGTGAATAGTTCTACAGATAAATTCAGGGAAGAACAGCCATAATATTTATGCTTTATGGCATTTAAAGTTTATCTTCAACCCGAAACCTATGCTGACTCTGTTGCAAATACTTGACAGATTTATCTGTGGAACAAATAGTATGGGAGAATTACGAAGTGGGGAACAGAAAGAGCTGAAGTGTACAATGATAAGTCGAAAAGTATATCCGGCTGTCGAAATTCCAAGCTTAATTTTTGTTGTTAAATATTTTAAGAAACGTATCCAGGGAAGATTCAGATTGCGGTGGTAAAAATTGATAAAGCACATGCTGAAGTGTTAACCCAAAAGGCAACTTTTTGGCCCTTGTAAACTACTGCATGCCTTTAACAGATTTACGTGGAAGTTAAAACCATTTTTAGACCATCAAGATGCTAAAAGGTAAATTCCCCAAAACGGTCACGAAAAAATTTTAAAAAATATGAATTTAGTCGAGCCTTAATTATACCAACTAAATCGGGAATATTTTTCCCGTTCGTGCATGTCCTTCGAAAAAGGCGAATCGCGGGAGCATGTAAGGCACTTCGCCAAAACAGTCAGAATTTCAATGTCCCTTTCTTCTATTACGAAACACGTGCGTTATAAAGGAAATTTGTACGACCTCATACGAGCATATTATTTGGTATTTACACTGTTGTGGCACCGGCGCTGCGCCAATTGGAGATGGCGCAGTCGGGGAACAAACCTGACCTATGGAAACGACTGATTCACGTGATAAAGCCGTTGCTGCCGCTGAATTTCTGGATCGAGTGTTTCCAAACTCCATCCATTGTTATTTTGTTCATGTTCGAAACCTTGGCTGCCTAAACTATCAAAAGGTTAGCGGATGTCCTAACCTTGTTCGTGTCGTGCAGCGACGGACAGGGGGTTTCAATGAACTTGCGAAACCTTGCTGACCTCAAAAATCTTACCATCGGTATAGCGTGTATTTAAGTAATTTCAATCTAGATTATCCATACAGCACTCGCATGTCCTGTAGTTATCTCATGGCCAGCTATCTCCATAACTGGATAGCAGTAGACACGGAAAAAGATATAATGCGGGGTCGCAATCCGCTTCGTCCTTACCAAGTTTAGTACCCCGCAGAAATCCCATCAAAACAATCAGTACAATACATTGGTCATGTTGCCCATCGTTGCAGGGAATCTTTCATTGTAGAGACAGGAAGGGCGGGAGGAGTTTGCGTATTGATAGCGCGTAAAAATAACCAACTGGCTAATGATGGTCGCACTGACACCACCCAACGTCCCAAGTCAATTCCCACGTCTGCCAAACTTGACGTGGACTTCCGCTAGCTAATTTCTCTAAAGGCGTAAACAGAAGGCATTTCGGTGGTCCCTTTACGTATATTCAGTACCATCACTGTTTAAATCCGATTTTCAGTTCGTATTGGAAAAAACGAAGACGTTTCGGTTCCTGAGACTCCAGAAGTTCACTATCCCTGTAATCCTGCGGAACCCAATATCAGAAGAAGAAGAAGAAGAAGCGATCACTGGAACAAGGTCTTTATTCACCTGACGTTTCGGATTCTCGCTTGAATCCATCATCCGAGATAGTAGCAGACAGTAGTACCCTTTTCTGCTACTGTCTCCGATGATGGATTCAAGTGAGAATCCGAAACGTCAGGCGAATAAAGACCTTGTTCCAGTGATCGCTTCTCCTTCTGATCAATTAGTTCCTGGAACTCGCATCTTCGCTTGTATCGGAACCCAGTATGTTTTTATGAGGCTGTAGTTTTCCTTATTGATGATAATTCAGAAAAGAACCGTTGCATACTAAGATAATATAGCCTGAGGCAATTTAATGCGCTAAGATGTGCTAACATAAAGGGACCCTTTATGAAGAGCAGACTATCGTTTTTGCTTGCACTTATGCCTTGCGTTGATAAAATTTCGACTTCATATCGCATCACCTTTCATCTGTTTTCTGGTTTGTTTCTACACAGATGAATAGTTTGATGCCCACGAGAGAGGTATCCCCGAGATAATGCTTTGAAAGTTGGAAATTAAAAATACGTTTCAGGACCTAGTTTAGGGCTGGCCAGAACAAGTACTTATATGCCATCTGGAGCTTCAAATACATATTTTCGGGCCATTTTCAGCATGAATAAAAGCATTTGAATCAATACACTCTTGCTGAACTGTTCTGATGCCTATGAGGCATTGACAGTCGTATCGATTTGATGTTAGCTGCCGAAGAAAGCAAATGATCTAGGATTTTTGCCGGTTTTCTCAACATTTACTTCGATGCAGTTAACAGTTTACCTTCATCATGAGTATGAGCGTGTTGAGGGCGATCATGACCATGATGTAGTATTCAAAGGGTGTAGATACCACCAACCGCCAAACCCGGTACTTCCACGATCGCTTGTCCTTGGGCATGTATCGACAGAGGGGATGCGCATTAATTGCGAAGTCTACACAACGTTTCTACAGAGGGAAAAAGGAAGAGGTAAACTATCCTAAAAAATTAAAACAAACCAAATATAGTAAGACTGTATCCAGAAGTCCACGGGCCAATCATGTACATGGAACGACGTTAAATTAAATAAACTGAATGAGCAGGGGAGACACCACGTTGGCTGAGGGGCAGCGGATGCGAAAAGTAATAATATTATCTTCATGCAGTCAGGGCAGATCAGTGAACACGAGGTCCGTGTGCTTTTGTACATTTTTAATGCTGGCGCGGATAGACGGTCTAGAACGCGGCTCTACCAAAGTGAATTTCTTCAATGTTCCCATTGTCATTTCGAACGTCCCGAACGACGATGT